AGGGAGGTAGGGAGGGAGGGAGGTAGGGAGGTAGGGAGGTAGGGAGGTAGGGAGGTAGGGAGGTAGGGAGTAGGGAGGAGGGAGGAGGGAGGAGGGAGGAGGGAGGAGGGAGGAGGGTAGGTGGGAGTGAGTGAGTGATGGAATGAATGAAAAACAATTGATGAAAACAACAAAAAACAATCCAGCTCCACCTCCAGCTCTACCTCCAACTGTAACTATAACATCAATTTGCACACCACTTATCTTTCCCATCTTTCCCATCCCATCTTTCCCCTCTTTAAAACCAGCCCAATTCTTTTCCTTTTTCTTTTTTCTTTGATGTTTCAAGTTTGCCGAGAAGTAACAATAACAGTAACAGTAACAGTAATAGTAACAAGCAAGGCGGGGACTGAGGATTATTTATTGAATGAATGAATGAATGAATGAATGGGGGGGGAGTGAATGTTGAGATAAGATGAGATGAGATGAGATGTACATTGTACAATTGTATATTGGAACTCCTAGGGAGAGGGAGGTAGAGAGGGAGGGAGAGGGAGAGAGAGAGAGAGAGAGATAGATAGATATATATATATATACATACATATATATAAGAAATAAAAAGAAAGAAAGAGCAGTTAAGTAAACATAGAAAGATGCATGTATATATACATACATACAGACATACATCTAGGTAGGCAATCTAACAAAGCAATTCCCAAACCCCCACGAAAGAAAGAAAGAAAGAAAGAAAATGATACAAGCAAGCAAGCAAGCAAGGGTTAGGGTTGAGGGAGGAGGGAGGTAGAGAGATAGAGAGATAGGGATTATATGGTAGAGTGGAATTTAGCTGATCGATAGATATTTGATATTTATTTAGATATTTAGATATTTAGATAAGGAAGTGGAGGTTCTTGATGATGATGAGGGAGGGAAGAGAGGAGGAGAGGAGGGAAGAGGGGGAGGGAGGGAGGTGGATATGATATAGATATAGTAACCTACCTATCTATCTATCTATTTATCGATCTCCAGGTAAAACAATATAGAAATAAATGAATGAATATAAAGAGAACCGAGAAAACTTTTTCTTAAGAAATGGTTGTAAAAACTTTTCACTTATATACATATATACATACATATATACATACATATATACATACATATATACATACATATATACATACATATATACATACATATATACATACATATATACATACATATATACATACATATATACATACATATATACATACTAGGTATACATCAAGCCTCCTTTCAAAATTTGCATCATACATACACCTATACACCTTCCTCTATAAACATCCATCCAACCATAAAAAAAAGAGCAGATAATAGTAAATCCTCCACAAAACCCATCAACTACCAACTACCAAAAACAGCATTCTAGCACGCGACTCCTATACATCAACATGCATAAACATGCACAAACGTTATGCACCAACATCTCGGACACAGGATCGAAGCACTGTGATGATATGATTGATTGGCGAAGAATAAAAGAATGGATGGATGGATGAGGTAATGAGGTAATGAGGTAATAGGAAGGGAGGGAAGCGAAGCGGGTAGCCAGCCAGCCAGCCATTATCCGTCCGTCCGGATGGATGGGATGGGAAATGCGGACGGCGTAAATGCCTCACTGCGTGATATATGGGGCGTTGATTGGATGGATGGATGGATGATTGGATGAATAAATGAATAAATGAATAAATGGAGAGGAAAAAGTTTTGGCTGGCTGGCTGGCGACATTTGCTTGCGACATTTATTTACATGCGTGCGGCGTAAAAATTGGGGGAGGGTTTTCCAGCTAGGTAGGTACCTTGATCGATTCGATTCGGTTGATCGCTTCTTGGTATGGTATTGTATTGTACCTAGGTATCTTTTTTCTTTCTCTCTCTCTCTCTCTCTCTCGGGGCTTAGAAAGAAAGAAAAGTACGGATGAAAAAATGAAATGAAATAAAAAGAAATGGTATACGCAAGACGGCCATTAGATAGATACCTACCTACCTAGGTACGCAATATAAGAACTAGGTAGGTAGGTATTATAGCTTACCTAGGTACCTAGGAAGGTAGGTACCTAGATATCGAGCCGAAACGTTCATTTAAGTGACTCGCTGGATCGATCGCTCATGATAATATCCATAATATCCATCCATATGAACGGCCAGATTATATTCGATTCGAAACGCGCTCAGCTCGTATTCCTTCCTTCCGACTTCTCTTAGGCGGGTATGAAGAATAACAGATACATCCATTTAGCAGAAGGGGATACTAACTTATTCGAAGGACTCTTTACTTTATGTACGATACGATGCGATTCGATTCTTCTGCATTGGAATCCAAATGAATTCCTGCAGAATCGGCCCCGTGCAGGTACGGTTTTGATTCTTCGCTGGGAAGAAAGCTTGTTTTGTTTTTGTTTTTGTTTTTGTTTTTGAAGAAGAAGAAGAAGAAGGGAAAAATCGATGGGAAAGTCGGGAATCAAAGAAAGAATAATATCTATGTGAGGGATTGTCATGTCAAGATTGGATGATGGATTGGATGGATTGGATGGATGGATGGATGGATAATGTAATGGGACTTGAGATGTCGTTGCTCCAGAATGTCCAGAATGTTCAGAATAATGGGAAGAATTAAAGAATGGGAAGAATACCTACAGTAACCCAGCATCCCCAAAACACCAAAAGAAAATCGGTTAAATAGTAAATACCTACCTAGCCTAGCGATATAAAATCCCAAGATATAGTGACACTAATTATCGGATAAGCCATCCATGAGCGTCAGGACCTGGCTATGATACTAATAGTAATAAGCCTAGGTAGGTAGGCAGTGAGGTTGCGAGATAACAATAACTCCAACCGGACATACAGTATCTATATTGAGGAAGGAGACATTCTTCCCACGAAACGAAACGACGTGACGATTGCCTACCTAGGTAGGGAGGGAGAGAGATAAAGTACGCACGAGCATCGATGATTGCACCGGAACAAAAGCTGACGAGTCAAGTCAAGTCATGAAGAAAAGGCGCGTGGTGTGGTGTTTGAAAAGGTTGGTGGGTGCGGTTACCATGATATTTCGTGAAGGGTTGGATGGTCAAAGGTTGTCTGTCTAGCTAATTCATCTCATAAGTGATTGCTATTGCTATGTTTGGGATGTGTAAGCTCTCAAGTTCATTTCTCTATTCTCTATTCGTCATTCTCATATTTCCATATGACATCTTCCTTTCCACTACAATCTACAATCTACAATCTACAATCTACAATCTACAATCTACAATCTACAATCTACAATCTACAATCTACAATCTACAGCACGACCTACCTACCTACTCTACTACCTACCTAGTACCTACCTATGTTACAGCTAGTGGGGTATGGTATGGTGTAGTATGATCAACAACCCCGCCATGGTACGTGCATCCATCCACCCATCCATCCATCCATCCATCCATCCATCCATCCATCCATCCATCCATCCATCCATCCATCCATCCATCCATCCATCCATCCATCCATCCATCCATCCATCCATCCATGCGCTCGCCATCGGCGGTATAGCGGTATGGCGCCGCCGTATTGTATTCAAGGATGCGGGTGTGATGAGAAACTCCAGCTAAACCCATTCGAGATCTATACTTCGTATATCCCAGTATACATGGATCCATTGGATGATCCATTGGATGGATGGATCCATGTAGGTATCTAACCGTAACCGTCGTCCCATCATAATACCTAATGCGGGGAAGGGATTTCGGAACCGAAGGATGGATAGGTAGGTATTGTATAAGTAGATACCTATCTACCTACCTACCTACGTATATCGTGCGATCAAACCTTAACAACATCACATGGATATCCCCAGGCTTCAAGACTCCAAGCCTCCAAGCCTCGTCAGGTTGGCAAGAATATCCATGGATGTGTTGAGGGAGCTGGAGTGGAGTTGGAGTGAAGGAGATGTCACGTACCTAGTAAGGGATAGGTAGGTAGGTAACTGGTCCTGGAAAAGTACCTAGGAATGGTGTTTACTTGGCAGCGTAGAAGCATCAACGGAGAATCGTTTGGTGATAGATATTTTACTTTACTTCACATGACCGACGACCTACGACCTACGTGCGTGCAGGTCTTGGGATTATGCCATCATGGCCCAAAAGCGATTTACAGTCCCAGGACATCATTATTAAGTACCTGTTACTTTCCGTGGAAGAAGTACTCAATTGTATATACATAGATAGGTAGGTACCTAGTATGTACTTACCTGGCTATGGACAACAACCGAGTTTCTTGAATTTCGACCTTGATGGTCCGGTGTTGTGACAACAGATGAGGCTTATATTTGAGCGATTTTTCGAGAAAACCTGGAACTC